TGGTGTCGCACAGATGAACTTTCCAACAGGGGTAATTCCCAGTAGGGTCACTGGAGTGAAAGGGATACTGTGGGCTAGGAGTTTCCTCTGGTAGAGGTGCGAATGCTCACCGACTCATTGCAGGATTGTGTCAAAGGAGGCTCACTGAGCCTCACTCGCATTCACATGGTGTCTTTGAGATCTCTTGCCCAGTTATTTTTCATAGCCTGAGAACAGTCTATATTATTTTGACCAAATGTGTATCATTCAGGAAAGAGTGTGATGCTTTCAGCAGAACTGCTTAATTGAGTTTAAGTAAGCAGTGGGTGCCAAGTAGACCAGGTTTGCTTTCTGGCTACAAAACCGTGCCTGTGATGCAGGCTGCGTTCCGCAGGAGTGAGGCGCGGTGATGGATGTGATGATCAAATGACGAAGGAAAGGATACAGCCTGAGAGAGCAAAGTCTCCAAAGGGAAATAAAGTATGATAGCAGCTGCCCCCATATTAATTGAAGCATAAATTTTAAGAACAGGATCTGAGGTTTAATTGCTAGACCATACTGAGAGATTTGTGTGTGTGTTTATGCATGCATATAATATAAAAAACCTAAGTTAAATTACTGTCATACTTTGTATGAAGAGTTTTAATATAGTTCTAAAAATGGAACAAATTGCCAAATGTAGAAAAGCATGTTAATGATGATAGAGAGGCATTCATTTACTCAATCTGTACCAGAGTAAGATGGGTAGGTACTCTGCTAACCACTAGGGAAAGAGCAGGTTAAAACCAACATTTCAAAGCTCACGGACGTGAACGCTCTTGTCGTTGTTAGGTGCCACCCAGTCAGTTCTGACTCACAGGGACCACTTGTATGACAAGACCAAACCCCGCCCTGGCCTGCACCAGCTTCACAGCTGTTCCTATATTTGAGCCATCGTTACAGCCACTGTGTCAATCCACTTTGTTGACGGTCTTCCTCTCTTTCTCGGCCCTTCTATTTGACCACGAATTACGTCCTTCTCCAGAGACAGCTCTCTCCTGAAACCCTGCCCAAAGACAGGAGAAGCAGCTTCACGATCCTGCATCTAAGGAACATCCTGGTGGAGTTCTTCCAAGACAGATCTCTTTGTTCTGTTGGCAGTCACCACAGTGCTCCCCATCTTCCTCGTCACTTCTGTAATCCCAATGGACCCGTTCTTCCTCGGGCTTCCTTACGCCATGTGCGACTTTCACATGTACATGAGGTGGTTTGAAATGCTATGGCTTGGGTCAGACACACTTTAATCCTCAAAGTGATATCCATGCTTAGTTTATCCTTTTTCTCTGCACTTAGCTTACTTGTCCCCATACCTATTTTTCCCGGGTCACATTCATATAGATTACGTTACTTTCCAATGTATAACTATTATAAGAACACTTCCATCTTTTTGTCCATTCTCTCTCACATGATCCCCTATACTCTCGTGTCAAAGTCTCCATTCTCTAAACATACCCAGTGTGTCACTGGATGTAGGATATTTCCACTCTCATTTTTTCTTCAACTAATAATGCCTTCCCCACCTTTAGGGGTCAGCTGAATTTCTGGGCCTCTAACACTTTCTAAGGAGCCCTAGTGGCACAGAGGTTATGCACTGGGCTACTAGTAGTGAGATCAGCAGTTCGAAACCACCAGTGGATCTGCGGGAGAAAGATGAGGCTTTCTATTAGCATAGAGAATTCCTGTTTCAGAAACCCACAGGGGCAATTCTACCCTGCCCAGTAGGGCCTCATAAGTTAGAATTAACTCCGTGGAAGTGAATTTGTTTTTTGTTTTCTTTTGAAGACTTACTGAAGGCCTTAATTTTAACAATATTTCATCTTCACTTTCCCAGAAACTGCTTGGAACCATTTCATTATTTTTTTGTTCATTTAGCATAGATTGAGCCATTTACAGAGTGTTTGCTTTGCTTGTGAGTGTGAACAATTCAAGGACAGGACAGAGGTGGCTGCTAATTTATTTCTGGCTAAACACTGCTTTACATACTGCAGAGATGTTAAAAATGTGTTTGGAGGCAGCTCAATATATAGTCAGATATTACTTAAGATGTTGCATGGTGGAAACAGCCACTCATTAAATTCTCAAATTTTATTTTCAAAAGCATTCACTCTGAAAACGGTTATAGGAATATGAATGCCCATTGTTCTCTGCAAAAAGCAAGCAACGCGTTGCATACACTGACATTACTTAAAGGAGCCCCCTTGGAGACGGCAAATCCCATTACATCAGACGTGCTATTATCAAAAGTGCATTGAGAACCTCACCTTTTATGTCCCATCTTCATAGTTAATATTGCTACGATGTGTGAGAATATAGTAATGTCATCCCAAGCAAGGCAAAGCTTTACTTTAAAAATGTTTGAAGAAAGATAAATTGCTTCTAAACTAAGGAGCAGTGCACATTTTTATAGCTTTGTTATAAACTTCCTAGAAACAGAATTGGGAAGTCTTGACACTCTTAACTTTACAAAAAAGCTAACATGCATGGCCATAAAAATGTAACTGCCATTCATGGGCAACAAAAATGAATCCCAAACTAACAGAAACTCGAACACCGTGATATGTACATTTTTTCCTGTTCATTCCAAAAGCCTCAACCTTTAGCTGTGGAACTATATAAATTCAACGTCAAATCTTTTATGTTCCAGAGGACACTTCTAAATCAGCTGCTTCTCAGAGACTAGAGAAACACGTTATCTCTGTGTCCCTAATCAATAGGATTCACTTGAGAAGACTGCGGGGAAAATCAGGGGAGTCCTGCTGCTTTCTAACACCTGGATGGACATTATCTGCTGTATACTTGCTCCATATGGAAGATTCAACACCACATAGAAAATAGTCAAAAGAATAACAGGAACTGTCTCTACAAGTAGAAGAGAGCTCTTCATTTGGAGTATGTAGTAATTACATAATCTCTTGTCAATTTGAGTGGAGGGGTGGAGTCTAGCCTGTCAACCAGGTCATAGCCAATGATGACTCTGTGTAGGCCTGGCCTTCTCCTGAGGCTTCTGGAAACTTCCTCCCTGGAGGCAGGACTGCACACACACACATTCTCTCTCTGCTTGACATTCCTGTTGACAATCCTCATGGAGCCACACTGATGGCAGCCAGAGCCCCAGAGATGCGTCCACTGCCATTGGACCCACAAAGGACTCTGCGCCCACTGGCCTGTGATCTTCCTGCTTTCAGCATCACTGCATGTGCTGTGTGAATGAGAAGAGAAACACGCACTAATCTTGAACTTATGCATTTGATCTGGCCTGGCCTGGGATGTTTTAGTGATACATATATACTTCTTGATATAAAGTTCTCTCTTACATGTAGATGAGGGTCTCTGGATTTATTTCTCTAGTCAACCTGGACCAACACAGGGTAACATGAATGTTACTAATTGCATTGTTAGATAATTATTTACCCTCACAATGAATTAATGTTGTTACCCCTTTTTTATGTTCTTCTTTTTTCTAAGTCTTGTGCTTTAGGCAGGCATAGTAATTATGCTGAAAATATCAAAAGGAACTTAATTTTTAATTAGGGGTTAAGATAAAATACTTCACAATATGCAGGCTTGTCTCGAAGTATTCTTTATATTCATATGAATATGTTCATATGTTGTCAGTATGTTCTACCTATTAAGGTCACGAGGCATGGGACAGTTTCCTTACACAAATACACCCAGTATTTTGATAGCTCTTTTATGAATCGACTGACAATTCTCTTCCAACTTTAGGTTATTCACCTTGTCATTAAACATGTGAAAATTATCCACCAATCAATACAATAGAATTTCCACCATAAATTTTTCCAGCCTATTTCCAACAAACCAGGAATTTGTGATTATTTAGGCTTTGCAATTTCATGATATTACTTTAGAGATAAATAAATCATTAAATGATTTGGAGGGAATATTCATTAAATTTAAGATCATCAAATATTTTAAAAGTTGTCATTTATATTAAAATAATTATGTTAGAGAATCATTTACTGATTAAGTCCTTTTTACTTTGTTTCAGAAGGTAAGAAAGCTGTATTTGCAAAAAAAAAAAAATTTTAGGTCCAAACATTAGTGATGTAGAATATGTCCCTTCAATTTTTCCCCCTGGTTATGCATTTTATTTATATTTCTTTTTATAGTTTTACTGCAAATCATGTTTCGGGATGCATAAAATTGAAAGAATGTGTAAAAACATCAATGATTATAAAGTTAGAAGAGAAGAGTAAATTGTAGTTTCCCTAGAAAGTATGGATTGTGTCTTTAAATTATGCCTTAGAGGAGGAAAGAGTTAAAGATAAAATCATGTCACACAAAATGGATAATAGTTGAGTAGTACTTTTTAAGTTTCCAAAATACATTACAAACAGGATGAATAAGACCATAATGTGTTAGCATTCAAAGCCACAAGTATAATAGTGAATGTCATTGCATCTACATTTTGAACACCATTTTTTTATAATACATAGGTGATAAAAATTTAGAAGATGAATATGTTTAGAGAAATAGAAGGCAGAACAATGCTACACTCTTCTGACTTGTAGCAACACTGATATATACGCATATAAATAATCATACGCTATGAACAATAATCACATTTCTTTAGCTTATAAAATATGAATGCTTAAAGGCAATATATTTCTACTGTACTTCCAAAAGTGCAATACTTATGACACTATGGTTTATACTAATGGTAATTACTTAAAGAAAAAATCTCAAAGACTCATTTTTTGGCTACCGAATTTAACTAACATCCACAGTATTTCTGGGATAGTTTCATGTGTCTTAAAATAGTTCTTCTCTCTTCTTGAGGAAAGAGAGTCAATTATTACTATATACATTCTCCCAAATCCAAAGGAACCTCATTTTCAACCACCTGTTCATTGGACTTAGAAAGCAAAGAGAAAAGGTACACATTATTCAATACATCTTGGTAGTGCGCAAAAGCCCTTAGAGCAAGTGGTAAGTGATCAGATGTCTCTCTCAACCCTTACCTGGTTTACTCCTTTTAAAACTCCAAACCTTGCTGTCTACCATGCAAAACTGGTGGCCACTGGGTGAAATCCAAACTGGGTAGTAGATCATGATAATTCCACCATGTCACGGGCAGCAGCATCGCTCAGAGTCCCACAAGCCAAGTGCTTGAAACGAACCTGAAACAAACAAGATAGTCTTTCATTTTAATTGAAAAATAGTGAACCCTGTCCTAGGTCCTGAAGGCATCACCACTTAATCAATAGGGAAATCATCAAGGAGTGTGTGAGGGACTATAAATGCCTCTTGAGATGCTGATAAGCATTAATGCCGGAAGACCGAAGTTTATGTGCAGGGGTGTTTTCTCAGAGTGTAGGCTGTTTTTCATGCTATTCTTGATCTAGTTATGCTGTCAGTGTTAAAAGACATCAGTGATGTTAAAATGTGTACATTTTATGGTAGCTACCTGCCTTTCAGCCTTCCTGCAGATGATGATAGAAAACACCCAGCATCTATTCTGACCCTATGCAGAATGCTCCCAGCGGAGCATTCAAGGAGACATGACAGGACAAAGCAGGCCAACAACTAGAGAATAATCCATGTAGATTTCATTTTCTACATCAACAAACATTTTATTCATGAGCTCTTGAATGCCAGTCAATTTTAATATTGCTACTTTCAAAATTGGGCTCACTTCCATTGGACTTTGTGTGAGGAATAACTTTGAGGAACAAGGTGTTGTAAACTCAACAGCTACCATTATCCACCTCCAAATTCAGATATTAAGACAATAACCAACGTGGATACTTTGTGGCTCAATCCTGTATACAATAGTGTATTGACCAGAACATAAGAAGGAAGTTAGATGATTATCTTTAGGTAATCTACCACATACATAAAAAATAAATTCTTATGTCCATATAAGCTAATTATCATGCATAAACTCCATAAGTGTATTCAACTCTGTATTAGTCTGGGTACTTTGGAGAAACAAATCCACGGCGACTCACGTATAAGAGAGAGTTTTATGCAAAGAAAATGTGCATCACGAAAACATCCCAACCCAATGCTGCCCAAGCCCACAAGTCCAACATTAACCCATACCCAACACCAGTCCACAAAGTCCTTCACCTCACAACACAGAGGCAATAATGCCGACTGCAGGAGGAAAGCTGAGTCAGTGAACGTGTAAGCATCTCAGCACTGGCAGTGGTCTCCACATGGCTGCTCCAGCACCCAGGGCTGCATCGGGATAGATCCATGCGGCTTCTCCTTGGGGATGTCTTGTAGGAAGTCAATCTTGCAAGCTGAAGCAGGGAACTGCTAAGGCAGCTGCACCCGATGCAACCATCACAAAACAAGAGACCCGAGAACTAGAAAGATGAGGCTTCACCACCCATTTATCCCTCCGCCATTCAACCAGCCCCACATGTGATTATCGGCCAGGCTGGCACAATTAACTAACTCAGACTCCATTCACAGATACAAATCTCATGTAACTCTCTAGCCATACAAAGAATCATGTTCAATAGAAATATGATTTGTTTATTGTTCTTCTTAGAGTAGTCTTTGACTTAGATTAGTTATCCAGAAAAACCAAGCTTAAAAATGTCTACATAAAAGCAAATTTATTGCTATTATTTTATAAATCATGTTCAGGAAAGGGTAAGAGGCTATGCTAAATGTATAGTGGGCCTTATGCAAGTGACTAACTATATTCCAATGTAAGGGATTATAACAGATGAGTTCAACAAGCTACACAATTGGATATTCTCAAGCACCTATGATTCTATCATCAGAGCTTCATATATTCCCAGAAGTCAACAGTTAGTCTTTGTTAAAAAGTATGACAGTAAGATATCCTATTGGGTCATGTCAACAACCATGGAAAGAAGGCGCAGGTGGAACTCAAGCACATTCCCCAGACTAAAATGTTACAGTTTAAAACAAATCTTTGTAGGAAGGGCTATGTGTACCCAGGCAGCAAATGACATTGTCCCAATCCAAAATAGGAATTGTCTGTTGATGCTATTAAGGATAGACATTAATACTCAGAATTAAAACTTTTGAATCTGTTCGTGCAAACAGTGACATTCATTAACCTAATACCAAATTAACTTTAACTTGTAAACTATATTTATGCAATTAAATAAATGTTATTTCTCTTCTTTGAAGCTACTCTGAAAAATATCAAATTAATTAAATAAACCTCCTTCCATGAATGGTAACCGTTTTCTGGCCTCTTGGAAACTGCAAAAAGGCATTCACTGTAAATCAAATGACTGCAGAGAGCGTAGAAAATAATTTCTATATTTCTTCACTTTAAAGTGAAGATTTTTAAAAGGGACTTGTTTCTAAACACGTATCTGTCCTCTATGTGGCTTTTCATACTGTAGATCTATCCTTTAGGGTAAAATAAGAGTGGCTGAAAATAAGTGGACATAGCAGATTGCCTTCCAAAATGACAGCATTTCATTAGACAGACATGATGCCATTTAGCGGTTCTCAGATGAATAGATTTTGTGCATTATTTTCCAGTCCTGGAAGTTTTCCACTGACCATTGATCACTGACTTATTCATTAACCCGTTTATTCACTCTACAGAGTTTTAATTAAGCACCTCAGTTGTGCCAGTTATAAGATTATGTGCTATAGGTGTTAAATGAAAAGACATACAGTCATTCAAAAAAAATGAGTTGATATCATTTAAATGGATGTAATCATTGATATAATATTGTGGGTTTTATGTATAAGCAATAAATGTAGTAACATTATATTTGAGCAAAGCAATTAGCCTTATAACCTGGTTATTATATGATCAGATAATGGAATTTTACCAAGTTCACCAAGCAAGTACTGCATTACATTACCAGAAGAACAAACAAATCTGTCTCAGGAGAAGTACAACCAGAATGTTCCTGAGCACAAAAAAGGTGAGACTTCCTATTATGTGCTTTAGACATGTTATCAGATAAGACCTGTTCCTGAAGAACAGCATTATGCTTGCTAAAACAGAGGGTCAGCAAAAGAGAGAGACCTTCAATGCCCTAGCTTGACATGGGTCCTGCAACACTAAACTCAAATATGAGGGTGACTGTGACGATGGCACAAAGCCTGGCAGTGTTGCTTCTGTTGTACACAGCATTTGCTGTGGGTCAAAACCCACTCAATGGCACTGAATGACAAGAAAACAGCAGCGATATAAGCCAAGGGCAAAGTTACACTATAAAGGGGGCACGGAAAACATTTGGTAATGCTTGTGAAGTTCTTTTGTTTTGTTTTAATTTGGTGTCATAGATTTGTGTAACAATTTTTTTCCTGTGTACCTCCATTTAACTGACTGAATCAAAATGGATTTTTTAAAAATCAAGCGGTTATGTTCTCATAGCACATTAACATTTATGGCATCCAACTCACAGCCTTGAGTCAATTCAGACTCAGAAAGACTATGGGGCAGGGTAGAATTAGGGAGTAGAAAGTATCTTTCACTGAGTGGCTAGTGGTTACAAACTGCTGACCTTATGATTGGAAGTCCGGCACACAATCACTGTGCCACCAGGACTCTTCAGGCATCCAAGGTAGAATTATAAATTCTTCCTCATTGTATTGGGTCTCACAATAAAATTCTGCATGGTCTACATCCCCTTGATATTAAAAGAAGTTTTTCAAACCAACACCAAGAACAGAAAATATTATCGAGTACAAGAAGGGGCTTCACCCAATGTTTGCACTTACATTCTATTCATAGGCTCATAGAGAATACATAAATGCAAAAGCAGGTATGCTTTCCAAAAGAGTCCTGGTATCATTGTGGGTTATGCGTTGGGTTGATAACGGCAAGGTCGATAGTTCCAACCCCCCAGCTGTTCCATGGGAGAAAGAAGAGACTTTGTTTCCATAAGTGTTTACAGCCTCTGAACCCCGCAGGGAGAGCTCTGCTCCGGACTAGAGGCCAATGAGAGCACACTGACTAGAAGGCAATGCATCTGATTTGGCTATTTTGTTTTTCCCAAAGAACAAGGTGGTCATTAGAACCATTGATTCCTTGACTTTATTTGAAATTTCATTCTACTTTAAATTTTCAGAATGAAAAAAAAATCCTTAAGAGAATGTTTCAATCTCCATACTCCAAATATGATACTGAACAAAAACATAGTGAAAATAAAACCATCGGACTCTAATAAACTCTGAGAACTTAAGTATCATTTACTACAACCAATATGGTCTCCAAATGGCTGGATTTTATTCTATTGTTTATTATTTTTGAGAGGCTTCTACTAATATCTGGGGTGAGTAATCTGAAAGCAAGCTCTCTTCATTACCCTGTGCTGTTAGAATAGAAATAAAACAAGCATGTGCCTTGTTTTAGTGAAGGAAGCTAGAAGTCTCAAGTGATGGTGCACTTCATTGTTTATTTCCATATCTTGCAGTTGTTCTTGGTTTTCCTGGGCTGTCTTCTTTCCGTGTGTATGTGTGTGTGTGTGTGTGTTATCGATTTTATATAACTCAGAATTGGTTGGGTCTAGGACCAATCTGTGTAGACATAATAATGTTAACACTTGTTTTAAAACAGGAGGATCACTTGCATGAATACACGTGCCAAGAATACATATATTATTGTTTGGGGACATAATTCAACCCATAACACAAACTATTGTTCTTTTCCAAATGGCATTCTTCTTTATGAAAAAAAAAACTTTTCTAAAATAGTTTCTTAATGTGCACATGTTGTTTCATGTAAATTATACTTTGATAACATTGATTTAAATTATTAAAATGGATTTTTGGCAATAGTAAAGAGCTTCCAGTGGACATCCCAAACCAAAACAGACAAAACTCTGCCTTACAATTCCAATTCACAGCAATTTTGAAATTATATATCTTTATGGGAAGAGATAGTCTCATCTTTCTCCCATGGAGTGGCTGAGGAATGAGAACAATGTCTAGTCCACAGGGCCACCAGGATTCTGCAGAAACTACCAATAAAATAGGATAGTTCACAAACATAAAACAAAAGAAGACTAACTTTTTTTTTTTTTTTAAAAAGCAGAAGAAATTATAACATGCACAAGCCCTTTTTATCCTGTTTATACTCCTGGCATTAAGTGCTCTGTAACTGATGTTTGATCTTTGTTTTTCCTTATGAACTAAGCTACTACCTTTTATTTTATAGAACTGC